TTTTTTTTTTTTTTTTGGTACCGGGGATCAAACTCGGGTTCTTCCACTTGCAGGGCAGGTGGCAGAACCACTGAGCTAAATCCCTGGCCCTCGCCTACTTTCTATAGTAGTGTACCTCAAACATAACTATACAATACCAGGGTTGTTCTTGTTAAAATGCTAGTTTGGTTTTTGGTGTAGTTTTTTTGCTACTGGGGATTGAACTCGGGACCTTGCGCTTCCAAGGCAGGTGGTGGAACCACTGAGCTAAATCCCTGGCCTTAAAATGCCAGTTTTATTTCAGCCAGTCTGGGGTGGGGCCTAAGATGCAATTCCAACAATCCTTTGTGGCATTATTGCTGATCTTGTAGATCCACACATCAAGTGACAAGGTCCTGTAGGACTCCTTTCAAATTCCTAAAACCACCAGTATCTGCTAAATTGATACTAAGTGTTCTGTGGGTAAATACACCCCCCCAACTCTCCACCCCCATGCCAGAGATAGAGATGGCTTATCCTTTAAAGATAACTTAGGTTTGGTTTCTGGGTCCTTCACTGATTCAGTGTCTTGGCTTCTTTAATTTGCATCTGCCGTATTCCATAAGGATAGATAGTATTTTAAACATAGTAGGTGCAGTAGGTATTTGCTAGTTACCTTGTTACTTGTAAGGGATCCATATAAAGGTTTGTTTCTATTGCTGGGTGTGCTTTTAAGAATAGTAATGAAGTTTCGTTATTGTTAGAAGGCTTGGCCAACAGGGCAGCTAAGGAGAAGTGGTAACATTCAGTTTGTTTATTTGCCCTTTAAAATTTTTTTTTTTTTGGTTCCCAAAGGAAATCTGAAATAGAGTACTATGCCATGTTGGCCAAAACTGGTGTCCATCACTACAGTGGCAATAATATCGAACTGGGCACAGCATGTGGAAAATACTACAGAGTATGCACATTGGCCATCATTGATCCAGGTATGCTTTTTAAGTCATAAAATCATTTTTTCCCTTTCTAGTGTAATGTAAGTATTCCCTGTTAGCAGATGTCTTTGGTTCCTGAGTTCAAATGGTGAGAATTTGGATATATCAAGGGATATCCTATAGTTTTACTTTGCACCCAAATTCATAATGAATGTTAGTGAATTATAATGGTCTTTGTTATAAGGAAAAAATATTTTTTTACTTTGAGGTTATGAATTTTGTTTGAAATACCTAAGGAATAATGACTTAGAAACTTGGCAGAAGGTGAAACTTTAAAGGGGAAGTAATGAGGTGAAATAGTATAAGAAAGTAATCCTTACTTGCTGCCTGAAGAAACAGGTCAAATTGAGAGGGGAAAGAGCTTACAAATATACATTGTCTTGTATTTTGAACTTCCACATTTTTACTTAACTCATAAAATACTGCGAATATTCTCGCTGTTCTGATTGTGTTATAATCAGGGCAGGCTAAACATTCGCTATAGTAAGACCATGCATGTGTCCCCAGACCTAGATCTTTCCCTAGGTCTGGTTTTACAAATGCTGGTGATAAACCAGGTCCAAATAATCAGGACTAATTTTCAGACTTGGCTAAAGAATGTGTGACCTAAGTTGGAAAATTGTGCAATTACCAGTTGCCATTAAATGAATTATAAACTATTTTTTATTTTCTAGGTGATTCTGATATCATTAGAAGCATGCCAGAACAGACCGGTGAAAAATAAACCATGCAAAATTTTTCATTAATAAAACTTGCCAGAGCTTGTTTTAAAAACAGTATCCATTTCATTTATTTTTCTCTGATTCCTGACACTTTGCATGAAAGTAGGATCAGAGAGGATAAAGTAGTGGGATGTGGCATAGAGCAAAACTTTCCAGTGAAGAAGTTACACGTTCCAGTCTCCATTTTCCCGTTTTTCTAGAGAGAAGGCACTAAGCATTTCTTAACTGAAATGTGTGGGATTGCAAGTGTTTTAGATTTTGGAAAATTAGCACTTATATAATGAGGTGTGTTGGTGATGGGATCTAAGTCTACACACAAGGTTCTTCTTTGTGCTTCATATACTGTACACATACAACCGTAAGGTAATCTTACACAGTAATCTGTGCATGAAACTGTTTGAATGTGGAATTTTCAACTTGTGTCTCCAGTGCTTAAAAAGTTTGATTTTGAAGCATTGCTCATTTTGTATTTTTGGATTGGGGATGTTCCAGCTACACTAGATTTTTAAGAGAATTTGTAGAATTATAATTTCAGAATATTAAGTGAAGTATTTCATCACAGACTGAGAAAAGTTCTAGTGAATTTTAATGAAGAAAAGTCTTCCTGGAGTTGTGCAGTGGGTGGATAGAAGAAATATACTTGGGCGACTTCAGAATAAGCTCAGATCTTCAGTAAGTATGAAATGAAAGATTGATTGCATCTATATTTTTGTTTATTTCTAAAAGATAGGAAGTATGTTTGCTGTTGAGATTTTGGGGAAACTGCACATCTGCCTAGAAAATTCCCATAGAACCCTTTTCCCACATTAGCCTTTGGAAGATTGAGAGGAAATAATTTGGGGGAAATAGCAACTTAGTTACATCTTGATTTACCAAGTTGAATGGTGCTGGTGTATGGTATGTACCCCATGCAGGCTGCTGGGCTTTGAGGGAGGCTACAGAACTTTTGGAAATGGCAGTATTTGGAATTTTAGAATCAATCTCCCCTCCCTCGTCCACTCAGGCAATTTTGGGTGGTAGACGAATGAGACGGGAAATGAGGGTGCCGTGTATGTGCTATTGATAGTGCTGTGTCTCATGTTGACAAGTGAGGGAGTAGGTTTCTTTCAAGCAGCATGCTTTTGGTGTCAAGTTATCTGAGGTGTACAAGCTGGAGAGTGGCTGTGACTAATTTCGTTCAGTCACTCTGGGAGCATGGTTGACCTTTTGTAGTGGGACATTTCTTTGGAAGGGCTGTATTACAGCTTTTCAGCCATATCACTCTTATATTTTTAAACTTGCGTGTCTCCTGGTTAAGAGGTACTGAGGTGCCAGGCATGGTGAAGTGTGCCTGTGATCCCAGCACTCGGGAGTCTGAGGCAGAAGAATCACTGCAAATTCAAGGCCAACCTGGGCTACATAGCGAGACCCTGTCTCCAAAAAAAAAAAAATTGCCTGGTCTGACTACCACTCTCAAAAACTTAGTCCTGTTTCCACAGTTTAAAATGTTTGACTCTTGGCTGAGGAAGTTTGTGTGTTTTTAATCGATGAGCTCAGTTTCTCCCCCAAGTGGACTTTTCACACTGTTTGGAAAATTTTTTCTTCCAGGATAACTAGTTCCGATTTAATTTCTAAGGTGTGACCTGAAGAATATAAAATTACAGATGCCAGTGTACCTCTTCTTTTTCTTTTTTGGAGGGTAGTGTTTATATAGCATGGCTTGCAGGGATTTTGGCGTGATGTTTTATCAGTATGTTTGTTGTACATAATGATTACCTTTATCATGGGGAGTTGGGACCTGTACATAATGTATCTTAGTTCTTTCTACTTCTCCCTCCATCTGTAGATCCCTTCCCATTTGCCAAAGATACCCATGTTTCCTATTATCGTTTATTTTGCACTTCAAATTATTTATGCTTTAGGTTTCTCATGACATTTTAAACTTGTGCATCTGATTTATTTCACTTAACACTCGTCTTGAGGGAATACATTTTCCTACAAATAACTCAGATTTATGGCCTACTAGTTCTCATAATCAAAAGGGACATTCATGTACCATCTCCCCATGACAAATGTAATCATGTACTGCAAACATGTACTATAAAAATACAATTTTTTAGAGACTGGGGATTTAGCTCGGTTTCGCCGCCTGCTGCGCAAGGACCTGAGTTCAATCCCCGGTACCTACCCACCAAAAAAAGCCAATTTTTTAAAAAAAGAAAAAAATGATAAATGATGAAGTGGAATACAAAACTCTTACAAATTCACGTGAGAAAAGCAAGGAAAATGGAGAAATAGTTCCTATTTTACACAGTCCTCATTAAATTTTTTTTTTTTTGGAGATGGTCTCACTATGCAGTTCAGGCTGGCCTTGAACTTGTGGCAATCCTCCTGCCTCAGCCTCCTGAGTGCTGGAATTACAGTCTTTCGCCACCATGCCCAGTTTAAATATCTTAATCCAAATTTTAATAAGTTCGGTGGAATTTCTTACATAGTTGTGGCTCCCACTTCCACTCCCAAGTTGTAGAAATTTTGAGCCACTAGAGGGAGCTCAAACAGAAGTGAAGTAGAATTGAGCCACCTGGAAGCCATAGTTACATTTCAATAGTGATGCAAACCCAAATCAGTACTATATCCCAATGAAAGCCCATTTCCAGGTCAAGTGCATTGTTTAGATACAAACTCCAGGGCTAATTACAAATCATGATACTCAGCTAAGCTACCACACTGCCCTTTGGGAAGACCTGGTGAAAAAACTTGAAATATTTCAACGTCGGTTCATTTGTAAAAATCATTTGGATGTAATTTGATCTGTGTCTCTTAGGAAGCTGTTCTGCTCTAAGTGCCATCTTGAGCTGATAGCGTTGAAGTCCCCTTAACGGTCCCCACGCACCTTTCCCTGTTTGGTATACATCCTTGTGCACATCTCCTGCACTTACACATACCAATGTATCATTCAGCCACTCGTGCTTGGGTTTAATTTACAGAGATGGTGCATACAAGAATTCTGTGTGACTAAATTCATCTTTGAGTTTTATCAGGTATTTGAGGGGATTAGGGAATTCCTAGATGTGGAGTATTTGTGTGCTTGGACTGCACCACAGTGTACCAGTCCCCCTTCCAATCTGATGACTTATTGCCTTCAAAAACTAGTTCCAGGGCCAGGGATTTAGCTCAGTGGTGTTGCCGCCTGCCTCGCAAGCCAAGGTCCTGAGTTCGATCCCGGTACCAAAACCAAAAAACCAGTTCCATTCTTGTGGAGCTCTTCTTGAGATCTGTGCTGCAGTCGTGCAGTTAGACACCTATAAGTGCAGTTGCCAGTCACAGAGTGGCTGCCTTTTTCATTTCATTCCTGTAGGCAGATTTATTCCCCAAAGAAACCGCCAATTTGTACTCTGGAGCAGTGTATAAGAGCCCTGTATTTCCACTTCCATACTAATACTAATCAGACATTGATTTTTGTCAAGCTGATGGAGAAAAAAATAGTATTGTTTTAATCTGCATTTTCCTGACTAGTAAGATTAACCACTTTTTCATATATTGGCCATTTTTATGGGTACATGTCTTGTATTTAAAGATAAATGAGAATTACACACAGAATGCCATTCTCTTAAGTGAATTTTAATATTGTATAAAAAAATTCAACTTGTGGGGGCCGGGGATTTAGCTCAGTGGCACTGCGCCTGCCTTGTAAGCACAAGATCCTGAGTTCAATCCCTGGTACTCGGGAAAATATTCAACTTGTTACATAAGTACATATGTCCTGTGATCTTTTACGTATCCATATACATATATCAAGATAAAGTCCAGTACCAAAACATCTCTTGTGGCCGGCCAGTGTCTGTGGGAGGGGGACTGCAAAGTGTTTTGTAGTCAAATAGTACAATGCTAAGGCTGGCTGAGGCAGAAGCAGAGCGTGCATGTCCAGAGGACATTACAGAACACCTGTGTAGCTTATTCTCACGGTAAATGCATCCTGGAATGCTGATGCGTTTGTTTTCCTAAATTATACAAGTTAGTGTGTACTTTTTGTCTTTGTTGTATAGAAAACCAGCTTCCTCAGAACTGGTGTTTACTGCACAACATTACAGACGTAACAGCTGAGCTGTGGGGCTCTGGGCCTCGCCTGACCCTCGGCACTACGGTGTACACATGTGTATAGCATTTCTAGTCCTCATCTGGCTCTCAGGCGATTTTCCAAAGCTTCCATTCTCTCTGTCATTTCTTCTAGTAAATCTCAAATTAAGGAAGAGGAGTATGAATTACTTGTTTTAATCTATATTCAAATACAACTTGATTCATCTACCTAAAAATTTGTCCTGAAATACAAAAGGGTTTGGGTTTTCTCCCTGATTTTAAAAAATTTTTTATTTTTGAGACAGGGTTTCACTCTAGCCCAGGCTGGTCTTGAACTCACAGTGATCCTCCTGCCTCGGCCTCCCAAGTACGAGGATTATAGGTGAATGCCACTACACCTGAGTTCTCCCCAGTATCTGAAATATTTTTAAATCCTGATTTATGAGTTTATAGTAACTCATTTAACATGCTGTCAAGATAAATTCATTTCAGGTTAAGTTCAGTTTTAGAAGCATCACAGCTAGATAGCTCAGTTAGAATTTGTCTTTTTCATTCTTCAAAGTTTTCATTCCACTCACCCCTATTGCTTGTTGATCAGTTGTTAAGAGCACAGTTCTGGAAGGCAGCAGGGAAGAGTATGGGAAGTAGAGGAGTGAAAGGATTAGGCTGTGGAAAACTAAAACATGAGGTAGGAAGGTTTTTGCCCTGGTGCTGCGGAAGGCCGGAAGGCCGGGACAGCAGCCTTGAGCTCAGTCCTCTGCTCTTACACAGAACCTGAGCCTTTGACCTCCAAGGGGCAGGGGAGGGAGAAGAGACAGAAAGGTTCCTCTTCCCTGGAAGCTCCTTACTGCCCCTACCCTGGCAGTGAGATCCCAGATTGATCATCTGCATTAGCCACTGCCGATAGATGACTTTGTTCCTTAGGAGGAGCATATTTCCCCTTTTAAGAGGGGAATTGCCGTGTGCTATGTTCCTTATGATACAAGCCCACTGGCACCAAGGTAGAGCCGGGAATAAACCATTTCCCTGTAGATGAGCTGAGCACGCTGAGACACAGCCAGCTTTAGTAAACTTAGTATAATTTTAAGGTCCAAGCACTTGGAAGTGAGTTCAATGTGTAAAAAACCCAAAATCTCATTTCTCTGATATCCCACAGTATCCCTTTCTTTATAATATTAATTGAGTGAATCACTGGATCCTGCTGTTCCCTTGGTAGAATGTTTCATCTTTTAGAGTGGTGATACAAAAGATCTCTGCTGCCAAAAACAAAAGAAAAGCCCAGCCAAAAAGCCTCAGCCTCAGAAACTTCACTCTGAATTCCAGTGTGGCTGCCCTGCAGGCGGGGGCTAAAGAACATGTCCAGGGTTGGAGCTGAAAGCTCGTTCTACAGCATTCTTTGCCCAAGCACACTGCTCTGACACACCTCAGACCCAGCTCGTCGCCCCTGTCATCCGCAGAGATGGAGGAGTTAAGTCCTTTTCAGCTGACTGGTCTCACTGCTGATCCCCCTACAACATCAGATGGCAACTAAGTGCTTGACTACTGTCACCAAGCTTGGCCTGACCGTGGCTCCCAGACAACTACCAGGCTGCTTCAAAAAATCCTTTTCTGGAGTTCACTATTTTTGTTTGTGTGTTTGTTTTGTTTTGTTTTTTTGAGACAGGATCTAGCTATATAGTTCAGGCTGGGCTCAAAGTCACTATATAAACCAGGCTGGCCCAAACTCACAGCAATCCTCCTGCCTCAGCTTCCTGAGTGCTGGGATCACAGGTGTGCATCACCACGCCCGTCTTTACTATTCTTGATGTCATGGAAATTACTTCATTTGCTAAAACCCACAGATACTGTATTTGTGAAATTTAGATATTTGCATTTTCTACAGAATGTAATATAGGGCTGGGGGTTTAGCTCAGTGGTTCTGCCACCTGCCTTGCAAGCGCAAGGACCCAAGTTCGGTCCCTGGTACCCAAAAAACCCAAAAAAACAATGTAATATTAGAAAAGGATATAGCGCTGTGTTAGTTTTCTGACTTCTTCATTCGCAAGGTTCTGGAACATTATAAGGTTTTCACATTTGCATTGATCATGGTTTTCTTCCAGAACTTTCCCTGAGAAAGCAGATAGAGAGTGGTCGCCTCTGTCACCCACCAGACTTCCCCAACACATAGCAACAGGACTGAATCAGCATCCAGGGGAACCCATAGTGAAAGAAATGTCCAGCTTTTCCAGGTAGCTGGACCCGCCAAGTGAATACCAGGGAAGGGCTGGCTGCCTGTGTGCCACGCACTGCAAGAGCCCTTACTGTGGATTAGGAAGAAGACTACTTGTGTCCCTCTTAATTTATTTTTTTAGTTTTCATTATACTTAAGTTCTTTCTTCTCTTTTCCTCTTTACTACTTCTTCCTTGAAGCTAAGCTTGCTGTCAACTTGAAAGGCTGGTATCAAGTCATTTTACAGTACTATTTTACTTAGAATTACCTGAAGGTTTTGTGGAGTGGAAAAGCTTTCGTGTAGACTGCGAAAGATTGTCTTCTTCAAACAGATACCGATGTTGCACTGCAAAATTAGAACAGGAAAGTAGGTCTTGTATATTTATGGTGACTGGCTCAGATTCTGTAAAGAAAAAGAAAACTGAAGTCAAACCTGCTTAACACTTGTGGCCTAAAGCAGCCACCATAGGAATAAGGAAGGCACTTGGTCCTCCTCGTTCATGGTGACAGAGTTTACTTTGGGACCTACTGTGGCACAAAGACTGTCAGCAGAAAAGCCAGTTACCAAATATGGCTTAAAGTCCAGAGTAAATCTGCCCTATTTGATAGAGGCAAAAAGGCCTCAGCAAACAATTTAGATCTTACTTTCAGCTTTTCATCTGGAGGGAAAGCATGGCAGAAGCCCCATCGAGTGAGAACACTGCTTTTTCAGAAGTACCTGTTGGCTGGTGGACCCTCTTTGGCAGCTCCTCTGCTGGTGAGTCCTGTCTCCCATCAGAGTCCTCTAGAGCTGAATAGGAAGAGACAACAAAAAGGAGTGACAGGTTGCCACATGCACAGCCAACTCCTTACCTGCCTGCCATAGCCCAGGGCCTTTGTTTTGGTTTGATAACACCAAACATTCAAAAAGCCAGGACCACTTTAGGGCAGCTCTACTAGAAGCCTGGGCCCCTGTGATACAGATTCTACAGAAGCCCCCATCCATGTGCGCGCACACACACGCACACGCACACGCACACACACACACCATCTCTAGGGGGGTGCCACAGAATTAAAATCTCAGGGCTAAGTTGCAGTGGCAGTGACTCCATTTGAAGCATTTCAATATGATGAAAGAGCCATGGGGCCACCAGCCCTCTCCGGAACCCGAGGTCCGTCCCAGAGTTCCTTCCGGTAGAGGAAGGGCTGGATTTTACAGAGGACTGAGCCTGGGACCGGAGTCAGAAGACACAAGGGCAGAGCTCTGTGTGTGTAAGCACGCCTGGCACAACTAGTGAAGTGGAAGAAAGGGTATGAAGCAAATCCTGAATGCGGAAGGGCAGCCTAGTACTCTGCAAGCACAAGTGTCCACGCAGGAAGGCATACTTTGTCCCTCAGCAGCCCTGCAAGGATGACCACCCCTGCCACTCCAACCGCACGCACATCCTGAGAATGCATACAGCTCTCCTGAGTCAGAACATTTGCTTCTCAGCCAAACATCTGTCATCACACGCAAGTGTGTGCTATTTCCGAGTGTCCCGTCCCTGGACTCCAGGGAGGCGCTCGGAGCTCTGCTGGCTGAGCCCTGCCCTGGCCCCCAGGAACCTCCACAGATGCCCTCCTTGAGCTTCCTGCTGATCTCGCCCATGCTGCTGAGGTCCTCTGCATAGAAGAGGTGCTTGGTGGTGGGCTCTGAGGCAATCTCCTGCAGCTCCTCCTCAATGGCCTTTCCTATGCCGACGGCGTACATGGCGATACCTAGGGGCAGAGCAAACTGAGGACAATGTCGGTTGCCTTCCAGATACTCAGAGCTATGGAGTGGTGTGATCTGAGGGGTCTCTATCACCACCCTTTTCTTTGTAAGCCTCACCATTTTTATTTTGGCACCAGAAGTGAGAGAGGAGAGAGGTGAGCTATCTGGCTGAGGCTGGCACGCAGAGGCACCAATCTGTTCCTGAACACATCTGCAGCTTTGCCCTGAGCTGGCCGTTCCGGGTAGGTTGAAGAGAGAAATCTCCTGCAGCTCCCTAGAATGGAAATCTCTTCTGGAAGAATTCTATGAAACAGGTCAGTTTCAGACCTTATAACCTGGTTCCTACTTCTCAAAGGTCTGGTGACCTAAGTGACCTTGGGCCAGGTGAAGCTGCTTCTGCCCACCTCTCTGGGGAGGACTCCATCTTGCAAGACCCCAAGCTGAAGAGGCAACTCAAGACCATTAGCACCCCAGTCGAGAAAAAGAACAAGGCCAGGTATCAACCTTAGGTTTCCAAAGCTCCAAAAGCTTTCCACAATCCTTA